GCTATTTTGTTCTCTTTACTTACCCTCCTTTTTCTTTTTTTATTCTCTTCTTGAGGCCACCCGATCTAACGGTCTGGTCAGACATACTGAGAGGCTTAGCAGAGAGTTATCAATCAGGAAGCAAATTCATGAAATGACTACTTAAAGATCCTTGTTGACTTGGGAGAGAAAAGGTGGATGGGGCTCATACTTAGCTTGAGAGGCACATGGTGAGGGATGCAACTAGGGCTGTGACCAGAGGCATTCTGGCCTAGAGTACTTTCCTCTGTGTTCTCCATGGCTCTAGAGAACAGAGGAAATGGAGAGGGACAGGAGAGAAACAGGAACCCTTGACTGTGTAGGGACCAATTATTGTGCCTGCCTAATGTACAAAAGCAACAGAATAATAGAGTTTCAGAAACTGATGGGATCCTAAAGGTCTTCTTGTAAACATTTTTTTTAAATGAACGAGGAAGTAAGGCCAGGAAAAGTCAAACCAAGCCTTTGACCCAGTGCTGAGTGGAGCTGTGGAATGTCATCTCTATGCTTTTCATCTTTGTTTACGAAGTTGCACGAAAGAGCCCAGGGCACGAGGCTAGATTGTATTCAAAATGCAGTCAGAAACAAGAAAGCAAATGATATGATACACAATTAAGATGACAACTCCTTCTGCTATGTGGAGAATGAATTAGACTAGCCTAAGTATAGAAATTGAGAAAGCAGTTAGGAGACTATGTCAGCAGTCCAGAAAGGAAATGATTGTGCCTGGGAGAGGGAAGATGGTGAAGCTGATGAATTTTCTTCTTCTTCTTTTTTTTTGGCAGGCACAGTTAGTGAGAGAGAGAGAGAGAGAGAGAGAGAGACAGAGAGAAAGGTCTTCCTTCCGTTGGTTCACCCCCCAAATGGCCACCAAGGCCGGTGCGCTGTGCCGATCCGAAGCCAGGAGCCAGGTGCTTCCTCCTGGTCTCCCATGCCGTGCAGAGAGCTGGACTGGAAAAGGAGTAACCGGGAAAGAATCCGTTGCCCTGACTGGGACTAGAACCCGGGGTGCTGGTGCCGCAGGCGGAGGATTAGCCTCGTGAGCTGCGGCACTGGCCAAGGCTGATGAATTTTGAAGTTAAAATATAGAAGAGTATTGATAGGTGCTGTGACTCAGTGGGTTAGGCCACTGCTTGGGACACCTGCATTCCATATTGGAGTCTTGGGACTGAATCCTACTTCTGTCTGCTAATAGGAGGCAGTACATAATGGCTCAATTATTTGGGTTGCTGCCATTCATATGGGGGAGACCCAGATGAAGTTTCTGGCTCCTGGCTTTAGCCTGTCCCAGTCCTAACTGTTGTAGCATCTTGGAACATAAACTAGCAAATGGAAGATATCTCTCTTGTGCTCACTCTCTCTTTTCCTTTGTTTCAGATAAGTAAGTAAGTAAGTAAATACATAAATAAAAACCTTAAAAATAGAAGATTTGATGGGTTAGAGTAGGAAACAAAAATACAGGAAGAATAAAAGTTTTATGGTATGAACAATTGGGAAGATATAAGTATAGTGTCTAAGAGACATGAGAAGGGGTGAAAATGTGATTTAAAAGTTGGGAGGGTTAGAGTAGAGGGATGGTGGGAAGGAAGTTTGAGACTAAATATGAAGATTTGCTCTCATTTGACTTCATATCAGTGGTTGAAGCTGCATGTCCAGGTCCTTTTGTTATGGTCTGTTTCCCTGAACCCTACTGAATACATAAGGCAGTTCTTTGCCACGAGGATATTTATTTATAAAGGATACTATGTTAAAGACTTATCAGTTATCTACTTTTGGAAGGTCAAGCTAAGGAGATGAGATAGGGAGATAGCTTCCACTTCTGATTGCCTTATATCCATGTAGAAATGGAATTAGATCAAAACTACAACGTGGTATCATTTCACTCCTATTAGAATGGCTGTTATCAAAAAACAAAAATGCTGGTGAGGATGTAGAGAAAAGGAACTCTAATATGCTGTTGGTGAAAATGCAAATTAGTAAGCCATTATGAAAAATATTATGGAGGTTCCCTGGAAAACTACATATACATCTATTGACCCAGCTGTACCACTTCTGAGTATATATCCAAATGAAATGAAATTGGCATATGAGGGAGATACTCACTCTCTCATGTTCATTTCAACACTAGTCACAGTAGTTAAGATATGGAATCAACCTGCATGTCCATTAATAGGTGAAGATACACTGTAGTTTATATATGCAATAGAATATTACACAGGCATATAAAAGAATGGAATCCTGACCTTTGTAGCAAATGCATGAAACTGGATATCATTATGTTAAGTGAAATAAGCCAGGCACAAAAGAACAGATGAATGTTCTCTCCCATATGTGGAAGGTTTTTTTTTTTTTTTTTTTTTTAAGTTAACCTGAGGAGCCTGCTGTGGCATAGTGGGCTAATCTGCCACCTGAGGTGCCAGAATCCCATATGGGAACTGGTTTGTGTCCTGGCTGCTCCTCTTCCTATTCCAGCTCTCTAATATGGCCTGGGAAGGCAGTGGAAGATGGCCCAAGTGCTTGGACCCCTGCACCCATGTTGGAGACCTAGAAGAAGCTCCTGGCTCTTGGCTTTGGATTGGCCCAGCTCTGGCTGTTGTTGCCATTTGGAGAGTGAACCAGCAGATGGAAAACTTATCTGTCTGTGTCTCCCTCTCTCTGTAACTCTACCTCTCAAATAATTTTTATTTTATTTGTTTTTCAAATAATTTTTAAAAAGTCAACCTGAATGGGCTAGCATCTGGTTCTGATTCATCGATGCCAGTTCATTACCATTGTGCCTACCCTTCCAGGAATAGCTCAGTCTTTGCATCTCCTGTGTGTGTGTGTGTGTGTGTGTGTGTTTCTCAGCCCTTCGGTGTTATTTTCATTTGAAGTCATGGTTCTCATAGGTTTACACCATTTATTTCATAAAGCTCATTGACTTTCTTATGATATTGGCATATAGTTGTTTTCATCTTTACTTAAAATATTGACTTTTTTTTTTTTGCAAATCCCCTGTACAGCTCATGTACTGGCCATGTATTTATTGATCAATGCATCCAAATGAACTCAGCATCTCATAGCTGCTGGATACTCACACAGTGTGATTAACCCTGTTTGCTGATATTTTGTTCACTGTGCCCATCTCTAAGCAATCCCATCCTATATGGCCTTGATTCACCCCCATCTCCTGTCTCAGAGTCGTTTTTGTCACCTCAGGTTCACCGGGGCATTACCATGCCAGTACCCCTTAGGATGCTTGGTTAGTTCTTTGTATTAAAGGGACAGTGGGATGTCTTGCTTGCCAGCCAATTTAATATAGTCTGACACTCCTGGCACACTGAATTAAGGTGGAGGAGCTAACAGCCCCAGAGAAGAGTCCGTTTCTATGAAGATTAGAACAAGAAAGTGACAGAGCACACAGAACTTTTATTTCTTCTTATATTTAAATATAAAGAAGACAGTAATTAAGCCCAATGCGAAGATGAGTTCTGATTGTTAATTGCCGAGGGAGGTGCAGTGTTTTAATTTGTCCTGGTTCATTTGTGGAACTAGGCAGACAAGGTACATGTTCTGTGCTCTTGCCCATGGATAATGCTGACAATTTGAGAATTAATCATTTTTGGATGTTCCTGATTTATCATTTTAAAATGTTCCTGCAGTGTTTTTCATCACTCTGACTGGAAACTGAGGAAAACATGTAGCTTTTTATCTAAGAGCATGTGCCTAGAGTCATGGTTTTCATAGGGCAAATTGGCTTACAGTTTTATTAAAATAGCCTTCAAATTATTTAATACTCTTGAATATTTCACACATGGTTTGTTGGTTGAGTCAGTCAACTGAACAGTTAGCATTTAAGAACAAGAAGCTCTGTGGTGCTCTGTAAAGCATTTCATAGTCCTGTGTCTAATGATAAAGCTGTTTGAACACATCATGGTGTGCACTGGTATAACTGGCTCTCTTGTAGTAGGGGGAGCATTTAATTTATTTTGGATATTGTTTTGTAAGTAATGATGAGGTCAAATGGGGGAGGAAGAGCTTAGCTCACTCAACCCATTGTTTACTCCTTTAGTTGAGCAACTGTACGATATGGTGCACTGAGCTAGTAATCGGAATGCCGAAGCACTGGGCAGGAGTTGAACTCACTCCTTCAACTGAACATTTACAGCTAGGAAACTTAAAAATGCAGATGCATAGGCCCTATCTAGACTTTGATATATTTTTAAAAACTCCCCAGGTGAATTTGGTATCATCCAGAGTTGAAGACAACTAATATGAAGTATAATTTGTTTTCAATGCATTTGGGATATATTTGGGAATATGGGACTTCTATATGTAGCTATTATTGCATCATTTTTGCTCCTTACACAGACAGCACGTAAACATCAAGGGAAAGGCATGGTCAATGTAACTACCTTACTGAAGGGAGTAACAGATTCCTAGAGACCAGGTTAGTCATGGGGGGTAGATTTGAACCTAGGCTTTAAGGATGAGTAGTATATACATAAACAAAGATGAGAAGACAGAGCATTCTAATAGACTAGCATAAACCTTAGCTGAAAGGCATGAGTGTGTAAGGTGTGTGCCAGATGTCAGCTGGATATTAACTGGAAGGTAGTGAGAATCAGATAGTCCTGCATAGGATCTTAGGCTCATCTATCTGGATTTGGGTCCTGTACATTTTATATATAGCTGTTTACATTGACAAAGTATTTCACTTCACTGAACTCTAGTTCTAATATCAGCCAAATGTGGGACAGGAGTTCCTGTCACATTGTTTGGAATTAGTAAGTAATGTGTTTATCAGCACTCAGTAAACTACAGAGCCATGCCCAATCATCTCCATTGTTACTGCCTGTCAGAGGGGAAGGCTTTGAAGGTTTTAGAGCAGAAGAGCGAATTATAAAACGTATTAATGGTTCATCTTATTTGCTTATAATGAAAGAAATAGCGAAACATTAATGTGTATCAGTATTGAATTACTTAATGTACTGTGTTTAAAGACTAGGAATTAAATCTTCAAAAAAGAAGATCACTTTAACTGTCCATCATGACTACCATGGAGACAATGCCTGAGAAAGAAAAATGTGAGTATACATGCTTGCCTAATAATTAGTTGCACAATGCAGTGCATAACCACTATTTAATGAATCTTTTTTGTTAATTAATATCCCCCAGAGTACTGTACTTATTGTCACTTCTTGAAGGATTCACTCTTATTACTTTTATTTAATATGACCAACTTTTGGGATATCTATACATTTAACTTGGTGTGCTGTCCAATGTGGTATCCACTGATCATAGGGTTTTTTTTTTCATACATTGTGTCTCCCATGAACTTTTTGAAGACCCTTTCTATGCATAGATTGCAAAAATTTTCTGCAGCACAATAACCCTATCTTGTAATTCCATTGCCCATGAATTTTTTGAAGTACCCTTGTATGATCTAAGTAAGCATCTATCCAGAACTACCTCAGATGCTGTGAAGATCACTTTAACTCTCTTTTTATTTGGATGATACACACACATTTTATAAAGATGGAGGGAGAACCAAGGAGTACAGAGGCAGTGTTTTCCAGTTTCATTTTGTTTTAGGTTATACCCATGATTACTTAAATTACATTTGAAGTCTTAATTTTGTGAACTTGGAATTCCCTTATGTCTCCTTATCAGCTTAGTCCCACTGAAAAATATTAACACTGATTTGAGGGGTGGTGAACAGTGTAAAATATATCTGAGATATATAGAAAACCTATTAATCATTTTTGTTGTTACAAAGAAGATATTTATGCTAGAGAAGACCAGGAATTAAGTGAGGAGGGGAGTGAATAAAAGTGTATCATCAGTAAAAGACAACTGAATGCCTTTAGTCTGGAATTGACAAGTTGAGTCTTAATGTGGAATGTGTTGGAAATATTGCTGAATATGTATTTTAGTAAAGGATAACCATATGCCAGTTGATACTGGGGTTTTACTTGGTTCTTTAACTCTTTTGGAGAAGAAATTAGAAATAATTTATATTTTTCTTCATTTATGTATAATGACATTGAATAAAAATTATTTAAGTTTTTAAAGCGCTTGTATGTAGTTTCCAGCTTCTACACTCTACCCTAAAACCAGTGACCTTACTTATGCTTCTCTGCTCTCTGCTTCTATCCACTCCTTTTCACTTCCAACTCTCCCTCTCTATTCGCTCTGCACGTGCACTGATATTCAAACATTTTCTTTCTTTACTTGTTGAGTATGTGTTTGTTATTTTTAGCCAAGGAATTCTTTCCTGCAAAATAAAATGTGGGAAGAGCTCAAATATGTACAACAGATAAGGTCTGAACGGCTCTGATGGAAAGAAGGAAGAGCCCCCAAGGTTCATAAAATTAATGAAGCACAAATTTCAAGCCACTGCCTTCACCTGGATTTGATTCACAATTTTATTTCTCTTGGGGTATTTGTGTTTTTAACCTTGTCTCTCATAATGCAATGTAAAGCTTTTTCTCTTTAAAGGGACACATATATTAATGAGCTGGCAATAGGAGATATTGGGGGTTTGTGTTGACCTCTGTCACAGCATATCTTATTCAACGACATGGCATTTATTTACAAGTTTTTCTGACACTAGACTTTTAAATACTTGGAAGATAGGAATGGCTAGTGTGATACTTATTTTAGTACATTTAGCACCAAACCAGTATTATCATTCAGTAGGTACTTAATGAATGCATGCTGATTGGAGTTCCATTGTATCTGAGGTGGGGCTTTACTAATGCCTGTGAAATCCAACACACAGGCAGTTGGGCATTTACTCTGATTATATATGCAAGGATGGTCTCAGCCACGTGGCCATACTTGTTTGTTTAGGATTATCTTCTCAGTAAGTCTTTGTGAAGGTTCTCAGAAGAATGTAGCCGCTTATTGAGAATGATGGAAATCCTCTTGAGTCTTGCTGTTTATGTTCGTTGTGGTTATGAAAAACACATGTTTGTAAGCCCCTCGCTCCGTGATTATAATCAGGAGATGGCTCATTCTCTGTCAGAGTTTCCAAAGCCCGATTTTCTTGTGCTATATTCACTTCAGAGGCTTACTAGAGAAACTAGACAGAACCTCTGAAACAGTAAGAGAATTCTGCAGTTTTAGGAGCCATCCTCTATGAGCATTAAACTGATGATATATGAAAAATGGGGTGCTTTTTGAAGGATAAAAAACATTTAAGAAGTTATTCTAAGTTTGTGAAATCCTTTGGATTTAGAAGTGTTCAACGGTCTCTTTCCCCATGGAGATGTTAATATTTGCACTCATGTTTTATGTAACTTTAATATGACCGTTTCAACCTCTTCGTGAACTTTATTATGGGAAAATTGTTATTGCTTATAATGATTTATTATTGCTTTAGGGGGATTTAGTAACTTCAAGAATGCCAAGTATGAAAAGATTTTATTATCTGTGAACATATTTAATTAGTGTAGGGTAAAAAGAACAGTAAGATTAATACAAACTAAATTAGAACATGGTGTTATCTTTGTGCTGTTGAAGATACGAGGATTGCCTGATGAAACTGATTATATAGTTAGGTTTAGCTGAGTGATAGTAATTCAATAACAACAACAACCATCATCATCATCATCATCCACATTTTTGAAAGCTCATTATGTGCCAGGTACTGTGCTAAATACTTTGAAATGATAACTAACTAAATATGCTTAACAACTCTCTGTGATGGATGTTTTTGTTATCATCCTCATTTTACCAATGAGAACACTAAGGCTTAAGACAGTAAAATAAGGTTCAAGAGCAAATAAGAATTCAAATACAAACAGCATGACTTAGAAATGAGAGTTCTTAAAAATCATTCAACATGAAATGAATATGTATATGCAGATAAAGCCTTAAGTACAGGTTTCTTAATAGAGAAGGAACTAGCCTTGGTAACTTTTTCTTAATAATTTAAGTTACTTGAATGGATAGAAGCTACATGCTTTTCCCATATACTTGTCCTGCTGTGAACAAAAAGAAGCCTCAAATATAATTTACTGAATGAATTTTTAATGTCAGTCACTTAATTTCTTGTAATATTGACTCACTTATTGAATATATACATATCTTTGCAAATTATAAAAATAAATGACTTTAGCATTGCTTTTTCTAAGGCATTGAAATGAGTTATCTTTGCTACTTGAGCATTTATCTATTTTGTCTGAAGGCTAGTTTTTAGTTATGGTAGAAAATCAGAGCTGGCTCAGTACCTTGTATGAGAGCAAGGGCTCAGACCTGCCACCTTGCAGTCAATGGGTCTACATTCCTTTGGTGGAAATATTTCAAGATCCATGTGAAATTGCTGCTTTCTGGTCATGCCTGCCTGTCTCTGCTCCTTTATGAATACTCCGAGGCCTTGTTCTGTTCAAGAATCTCATGACCTGTCAGGGTATGCCATGCAGGCTCTGGATGAGTCAGAATCTGCTGGCTGCAAGGTGGTTGTTGGAGTTGTCACAGTGCACAAGAGCTTCAGAGTTCACAGGCACGAGGGAAAGTCAGGCACACTCATCAACAAAGAACCTAGCTGGGAAGAACATGCTAACTTGGTAATTCAACTCCTTTGCAAAGGTTAACTTTTAGTTACAAAAGGCAACATCAGAACAGCTACACCAACACAATAAATTACAACAAGGGTGCAGGAGTGTTTAAAAGGAAAAGTGTCATATTCCAGGATGACCAGCCACATCTCAGAGGAATTCACAGTGATACATGGCATCAGGAAAACTTGCAGTTGTATAGTAAAAAACAGCAAGCAACTCCAGAGATCACTGTGTGTGAATGCTCATGGCGTGACTGCGTCTTTAGAAACACACCAGCCTCTGGGTCTCAGAGCTTTTACCTGTGAATGAAGATGAGCTCATCTCTAAGGCCTTGTCTTAAAGGAAGACATGAGGATTTTTACAAAGCCATGCTTGCATTAAAAACACATGACAATGTTGTTGTTATAAGCAATTGTAATTAAAATAATTGTAAGGGAGATTTGATTAGTCAGAAAAAGGGAATTAAAGGAAGAAAGGATCATCATAAGAGGAGGAAAAAAGAGGACAAGTCATGGAGTCACATCTGGGAATACCTCACTGCCTTTCCTTCAGGAAGTGTACAATCTGGCTGGAGACCTTCTCAATGTGGAATAATATTTTAGTTGAAATGGATGAAACAGCTTTAATTTATGAACTACTCTCTCTTCCCTATGAATGAAAGTGGCTTTGAATGGAAAAATTAGTGGAACCATTTTGTGGTCACATGTGACTATGCTTCAATCTAAACAAAGAATATATGTATTTCTCTAGAAATATGTGCTTCAAGTCTTGACAGCTATTTTTTTTTATAAAGAAAGGAATGCCACAAATCAGTGTTCTTGGAAATATATAGACAACCTTTAATGTCGGGAAATGCAGTGGCGTGTGTGGGAGGACAGGGATATTTGAGTTTGCTAATAACTTAAAGTATTTTCATGGGTAACAGTGGAGAGAAGGCAGAAGCTAGAGAGAGCAAGTTCTTTTCCCAAATAATTGCAGAGGGGCAATTCCAATACTGTTTTTCCTAAAGGGGCACTTCTTGGTAAATGGTATCTTTCCTAACCTAGTGCTTTTCAAGTGGACTAGAGTCTAGTCAAGTCTCTCCTTTAATGCTAGGGTTTCCCCCAAGCTTCATTCAGTAGGTGCTTAATTTCCCCCAAACTTCATTGTTCAAGACTGCCTTGTACAGCTATCTGTGGGGAAAAGAGAGGAGTGATTTTTGTACAAGATTTAAAAGGGTTTTGCCCCAATATTGCATTATAAAAATTTTAAACATACAGCAAACATGAAATAATTTTAAATCAATACTCATATATACCATCCCGCTGTTATCATTAATATTTTACTGTACTTGATTTACTACGTGACTGTCCATCAGTCAACATGCATATCATTGTTAGAATTTGTTATAACATTACATTCTAACATTTTAAATATGTAACTGTATGAAATTTTAATGTAAAACATAAATACAGTAAAATGTAGAAATCTTGATCATGCATTCATTGAGTTATGATAATCACATGTCTGTAAATCCGTAT